TACATAACTCGTACCTTGACACCAATTAAAAGTTACGTCCGAGTCATCAATTGAAGGTATTCAAAAAAGAATGTGCATGTGTGCGTAATTGGCGTTCTGTTTGCGGGCTAGGACAGCGTAGGATATGGAGATCAGGTATAGATCAATATTTCAGCATTGTGTGTAGGGACTCTCCTAGTCCGGATACACGTATAGGTATTTGTATACATGTTTGTGGTTTTATGCGACTGTTATTTGTCACAACAGATGTTACAAAAGCATGACACTAAACGTATTTTTAATTTACAAAACCTCTCTTACTACACTCCATCTTGTAACATGTGGGATCGAGTTTCAGTTGGCGTTCAGAATGTCATTGTCCGAGGCCTGTGTTCGCTCTGTCTTCATCAGATACACAAATACTGTTACAAACGCGTTCGTACACAATGTTACCTGAGGGTATCACGGGGTTTGAATCGTTTCCAAACCTCCCCTCTCCCGCCCTTCTCTATTTGTCTGTAATTCGACACATATCTTAAAGTGGAGCCCCGCCATAAATAAGACTGCTGGCTTTTTAACCGGTTTAGATAGTTATCCCTACTACTGTACATACGAGTGACAAGTATACTTAGTACACCCGGACTGGTAAGTAATGGTACCACTCTATCGCCGCCCGGTTGTCATTAGAACCTGGAACTGCTTTTGTTATCATATGTAATGGAATCATGTACACTTCAAGCAAAGAAACCATCCTACATAATTAACATGACGTGTGTACGGTCCATGACCACCTTTGATTAAATTGGAAGCGGAATGCTGCACGCTCTTTGTCGACAAGGATTTACAGTATAATATGTAAACAATTTCTCCTCTCTTGGACACCATCTCGGTCAGTCAGAACATCTTTTGATATAGTTTTATTTAAATCACATTCATTGCAATTTACATCAAAACAATGGCGAAAATGTTGTGGTTCATCAGGTGTCTCATTTTACCAAGTTTTAATCAAAGTAACAGTACTAAATGTACACATAGAAAATGTGGTAAGTATACAATTAACAGTCGCTGCTTAAAATTACATATTTATGCTTCGTACTTTACAAAGAAAAAATAAACATTTTACACCATTGACTTTAAGCTCCATTGATGAATGCAAGTGGACGAAATAGCCATATGATACAGTAAACGTTTACTTTCTTTAACTTTCTGTATCGATATCATTAATGTTTACATAGGTAACTCCTTCTTTTAGTACAAAGTTCCAAATACTTCATGAAAGTGTCACACATTAAAGGTCATATGTAGCCTTAAATTGGACATGTAGTAAATTATTTTTTTTATCTTTATATGACAATAGGAACATTTGCATACAATTAAAATATAATTAAAAATGTCTCAAAGTACATAATGATAGAGGCCCCCAGCAGCTTGTATGATAATAATGTCTAATGGTATATAACAGTCGCCTGCAGCGACATGAAACGTTATAACAGACTTTGGCCGTGATATCGATAGTATCGGGATTACTTGGGACCGCTGAGAGTTTCTCTGAATCATGCATATCATTTCAACAATTCATTGTCACAGTAGAATACTTTTTCAATTCAACAGTGTACAAACTAATGAGTCATAAATAGACGCTGACTTTCTTTGGTTTTCTGCATTAACAGACTTTATCTTCGTTCGTCGCTATTCTAGTGACTTTATTTAAACACGTGCTTCCTTCTTCGCTATTCTAGTGACTTTATTTAAATACGTGCTTCGTTCGTCGCTATTCTAGTGATTTTATTTAAACACGTGCTTCGTTCGTCGCTATTCTAGTGATTTTATTTAAACACGTGCTTCCTTCGTCGCTATTCTAGTGACGTTATTTAAACACGTGCTTCGTTCGTCGCTATTCTAGTGACTTTATTTAAACACGTGCTTCCTTCTTCGCTATTCTAGTGACTTTATTTAAATACGTGCTTCGTTCGTCGCTATTCTAGTGATTTTATTTAAACACGTGCTTCCTTCGTCGCTATTCTAGTGACTTTATTTAAATACGTGCTTCGTTCGTCGCTATTCTAGTGATTTTATTTAAACACGTGCTTCCTTCGTCGCTATTCTTGTGACTTTATTTACACGTGCTTCCTTCGTCGCTATTCTACTGACTTTATTTAAACACGTGCTTCCTTCGTCGCTATTCTAGTGATTTTATTTAAACACGTGCTTCGTTCGTCGCTTTTCTAGTGACTATATTTAAACACGTGCTTCCTTTGTCGCTATTCTAGTAACTTTATTTTTAAACACGTGCTTCCTTCGTCACTATTCTAGTGACTATATTTAAACACGTGCTGCCTTCGTCGCTATTCCAGTGACTTTATTTAAACTCGTGCTTCGTTCGTCGCTATTCAATTGACTTTAATAAAACACGGGCTTCGTTCGTCGCTATTCTGCTGACTTTATTTAAACACGTGCTTCGTTCGTAGCTATTCAATTGACTTTAATTAAACACGGGCTTCCTTCGTCGCTATTCTACTGACTTTATTTAAACACGTGCTCCGTTCGTCGCTTTTCTAGTGACTTTATTTAAACACGTGCTGCGTTCGTCGCTATTCTAGTGACTTTATTTTTAAACACGTGCTTCCTTCGTCGCTATTCTACAGACTTTATTTAAACACGTGCTTCCTTCTTCGCTATTCTAGTGACTTTATTTAAATACGTGCTTCGTTCGTCTCTATTCTAGTGATTTTATTTAAACACGTGCTTCGTTCGTCGCTTTTCTAGTGACTATATTTAAACACGTGCTGCCTTCGTCGCTATTCCAGTGACTTTATTTAAACACGTGCTTCGTTCGTCGCTGTTCTAGTGTCTTTATTTAAACACGTGCTTCCTTCGTCACTATTCTAGTGACTATATTTAAACACGTGCTTCCTTCGTCGCTATTCCAGTGACTTTATTTAAACACGTGCTTCGTTCGTCGCTATTCAATTGACTTTAATTAAACACGGGCTTCGTTCGTCGCTATTCTACTGACTTTATTTAAACACGTGCTCCGTTCGTCGCTTTTCTAGTGACTTTATTTAAACACGTGCTTCCTTCGTCACTATTCTAGTGATTGTTGCTGCACACCCCATCGTACGTAAGCGCGTTATGATCATGCTATATTTTATGATGAAATATTATCTGGCAACCTTTGTGTGAATGTGAGGAATTTTAAGAACATCACTGCAGTTACATACATCGAACCAGACCAGCCTAGTTCCAGATTCTGTCTAAAATAACGTCGAGGTCAGTTTCAACATGAATCTTCATGTACGAATGGTCACTGGGAACGGTTAAAGACTTTCTGCTCTTTGTATTTCTAATACATGGCGATATAATACAGCAAGATTACGGACACAAACAGAACATCAGCAGCCCAATGTTGTAACATTCCTCCTTCCCTAACTAACTGTGTTGACGTGTTACAGTTGATTTGGTATTCAAAAATCTGCATCGAATAGGATGACTTCCGGTATAGATGCTGACGAGTGCTGAAGAACAAACTGACAAAACTGGGCTTCAGAGATGGAGGTTTATGACGCCAATGGACGGGCTATCTTGACCTCATGAGGACTTTTTCTATATTTGTCGATGGTTTTCATTATGCTCATTAGTGTACCTAATGTGTTGTTGTTCCTACCCCAGTTCTCTGTACGAGGGCGTGACATGGTTTTCATTTGACCTAGATTTATATGGCGGGTGTCGTCGATGAAGCAGAAGACACTCGCTCTTCCGGAACACCTGGTCTTATTACTTTTTCGTTGGATCACCTTGTAAAAAAACATAGTTTGACTCAGCATTACGCATTTTCAGTTCAAATAACGGTTTTGTTGAACTTATGTATTCTCTTGTTGTTTTCCTGAACATTGGACACAACATTTTAATTTCGCAACATCAATGACGGACTTGCTATTAATCTGTGTATTGTACTGTTACAGAGAAGGCCTATATCTGAGGCACTGTACGCCATGTCACAAGGTCACCGGGGTAAGTTGATTCCATCTATCAACTAACGTCGTAGATATTACGTCACAGAAACGACATAGGGGTAGTTGAGGGCTACAACACATGCTTCTTTGCTTTTAATGCGCAATAATCACCGACGCTGATATCTTTACACCGAGAAACATTTAAAGGTAGTGAAAATAAAAATAACGTCCATATATGATATCTTATTTCCCACACTCGCATTCTTATTTTACTCATACAGTCGAGTTTAGGTTACTTATAGAGTGACTGTTGACCTTGTTGATATGTTCTATTTCTGTATACTTGAGCGCAACATATTTTCATATGGGAAATAATTCCATGAAAACAATTACAATGATTCTTTCAATTAAAAAATAAATGTATAGTATATCCCATGCTTCATTTTCGATTCTTTTGACATCACCGTTTTCTAAATCTTTCTTCCCCTGACAAGTCTCAATATTGCCAAAACGTATAAATCTTCACAGATTTGATGGACAAATAACGAGTTTTCTGTATAAATCACGAAGTTACTGGGTCTAAAAAATATCTGTTTCTGCTTGTTACTTATAACTAATATGATTAGCAACTGAAACGGTCAATTCCATGACACGAGCTAAAACGTACAAGATATGTGTTCTATATTAACATCGCGTTGTAATAATGGTAAATACCGAGTTCAGAAATGTCAGAGCGTCTGGGCATTTTAATAGCCGGTTCATAAAATGGTATGTTTAAACAATCAGTAAGAATGTGCACGAGTGTCAGACTAGCAGGAATGCCTGTGGCACTGCAGTCCGTGAAGAGATTGAGGCTAGACAATACTGACCTGAAGGGCGTCGTAAACCTCTATGAGAGAACTTGTACAGTTAATTAAAATCTTTTACGTCGCATAGAAACTTAATAAAATCATATAACCGTAAATAAACGAGAACAAAGGACTACCTACTTGACAGTAAACTGACACTGCATACTGACAGATTACGTAGTGACAATTGGTGAATTCATATACTAATAAATCAATTTACCTTCGATGAGGTTTGGGGAGATAGTTCCTGACAAAACGTTCTGTCCTCGCCAGGTTATACATGAAATGTCCACTTCAGCAATACTCTATCCGGAACAGGCGTTCAAGACAACACAACTGCTTTCCGGCGACTGACCACAACGAAAGCACCTATAAGAAATGGAAACATGAGACAAATTGTTTTATAAACAACACCAAAGTAAAGATCCGTGGATCTAATCATGTGACTATTTCCAAAGGCCTGCTTTTATTAAAATGCCTGAGTGATGAGGGTTAAGATAACGACACTGACCTCTGTCAACACACGTAAAGCCGTGAGGGTGCGACACGTACGGGAGCGCCTGCTGACAGGGACATGCGGCCGTGCTTATACTGCTTGGGTTGGATCTTATCGGGATAGTAATGACTTTAAAACCCGGGTAGGGTCAAAAGGGCTTTATGGTAGTATCAATAGATAGGTAAAACTGGGAGGTAATGACCGTCTGTTTATATATACCGGACGAGTGTTTGAGCTCTTCACACACCTGTCCCGTCATACCGGTCAGTGAGGATACACTACCGACTCGGGTACCGTCCGCCATCCACACTCTCTTCCAGCAATCAAATTACAACGAGAACTCTTTAGAGGCACTTAGTTCCGAAAGATATTATTGTAATTTGAATAGTTAATGGACGGATTTATACAATCGTCGGTGGATGGTGACCTGATTACCGAGTTGACCGGTACCTCATAATCACAAACCGATCAGTGGGACCCCTTTGGTTGAGATAAAAGGGAGATATACCGTTATTAAGGATCGAACTATTTATCGAATGAGTTCGCCTTTTTAAAATGTCTGTTGTGAAAATGTGATTAATTGTACACATGTACATATTTAGAACACATACTAAACTCATTAAAGCATACTAAACTTATTTCATACCAAACGAGTTAAAATAAACATAACTCATCAAAACATACTGAACTCATTAAAAACAAACTGAACTCATTAAAACATACTGAACTTTTAACATAACAAACAAGTTAAAGTGTACGTAACTTATTAAATCATTCTGAACTCATTGGAACATACTGAACATTAGAAATTCATGAAAAAATATAATAATCATATCAAAACCCAGTCAACTCGTTAGAATATACTTAAATCGTTAAAACATACCGAGCTTATTTTAACATACTGAGCTCATTAAAATATTATAATCTCATTTAAACATATTAAATTCATGGAAACGCAGCTAAACAATTAAAATATATTGAACTCATAGAAAAACCAGCCCACGAACATATACCGTATTGCGTTATTATCAACCAACCCGCGTACGAATGCCATAGACACATCCCGAAAGCCGAAGTTGCCTTCTATAAAGAACACTTTACTACTTACACAAATCTGCTACATCACATGGAAATAGTTACTTAGATTTTAACTGAACTGGGATAACAAAGTTTCTAATCCACCACCATGAAATCAGATGTTAAGGCTGGACTCCACCCAATTTTGACATCTGACTTCAATATTGAACAGGCCTGGACATTATTTAAAACAACCATAATAGCGGCCATTGACACTCACGTCTCTCAAAGACGTTCAAGGTCCAAGTTCACCAATCCATGGGCTAATAATGATATTAACAGGTTATCAAGACAAAAACGTAGAGCTTACGTAGAGCAATCAAAAGCAAGTCACCTGGGGACTGGGACCGCTACAGAAACATCAAACGTAAGATGCAAAAGGGAAACAAGGAATGCACATAACTCCCATGTTAATATAGTAGTCAAGAAGCTAAAGAAAATTCCAATACGTTCTGGAGCTATGTCAAAAGCAAAAAGGTGGATTCTTCCAACATTTCCCCTATTAGAAATCCATCAGATGGTATCACCTATTCTGAACCTACAAAAAAAAGCCCGAATTCTGAACCATCCATTCCACTCAGTTTAAACTCATGAAAATTTATCTAATATTCCACAACTTCCTGACAGTCAGTTCTCTTTTATGCCAGATATCAAGATCAGTGAACCAGGAGTCCCTAAACTGCTAAAGGGACTGGAGGTACACAAGGCATCTGGCCCAGACAGCATTCCATCAACAATACTAAAAGAGCATGCTGTAGAAATCACACCAGCGCTAACAAAAATAGTTCAAAGTTCACTAGACTCACGGTTCCACAAGACTGGCGTGAAGGGTATATTGTCACTGTCTTTAAAAAAGGTGACAAACAGGCTGCAGAAAACTATCGTCCTGTCTTAAACTTGTGTCACCTGTAAACCTCTGGGACATGTCATCCACGGCAACATTTTGGCTCAGTTAGGCTGGCATAATATCCTTACTACATTTCAACACGGCTTTCTGTCAAAACTCTCCACAGAAATACAAATTATACAGACTGTGGATTATGTACTCTAGAATATAAATAATAAAACACAAGCAGATATTGCCCTATTAGACTTCTCTAAAGCGTTTGATAAGGTTCCCCATGAACACCTTCTTTCTAAACTCCACTTGCATGGATCAGATCATTCATAAAAAATAGAAACCAACAAGTACTGCTAAACGGGATTAAATCAGACAAAGCCCCTGTCCTGCCCGGGGTCCCCCAGGGTACTGTAGTCGGACCACTTTTGTTCCTTGTCTACATTAATGACCTGGTACAGTCAGTGTCATGCAAGGTCAAACTTTTTGCAGATGATTGCCTCCTATATAAGGAGATCTAGTCAGAAGATGAATGCATACAACTGCAAGCAGACCTCGCTAGACTAGAGCAGTGGGAGACTGACTGGCAAATGAATTTCAATGCTGGTAAATGTTGTATCATCGATGTTATCAAAACAAAACTTAAGTCCCCATAAAATTTTCTTACAAGCTTTACAACACACCTCTGGATAATGTTACTGCAAGGGAATACCTAGGGGTTACTCTAACAAATGACTTCAGCTGGGGGAACCACATCAACTACACTGTCAACAAAGCCAACAAAACACCTCGGATTCCTGAGACGCAACATGTCATCACGCTCCAGGAAAGTGAAAGCCCAGACCTACACCTCATTAGTAAGACCAACTATCGAGTACGCCTCTACATGCTGGAACCCATACACCTCAGAAAGCAGTTTTCTTTTGTAAACTGTCCAGTGTAGGGCTGTTCGATATGTTTACAACAACCACAGGACTCGTGAGCCTGGGAGTGTAACAAATCGCTATACTGGGCACCACTATCAGCAACAATTTATAATGTACAAAACTCTTAACAACTAAGTTGCCATTATTCCAAATGAGCATATTAAAATATCTGACCGCAGAACCAGAGGAGCACACAAACTTCAGCAGATTTCCACTAATAACGAGCAATACAGAAATTCATTCTACCCTAGGACTATTAGAACATGTAATTCACTTCCTGAGCATATAGCCCAGTCACCTGATTTGAACTCAGCTCTGTCTGACTACCAACCCAAAACTACCCTCTGCTAGAGTCAAATCCTGTCAGAGCTGTACATATTGTTATCCCCCATTCCCTTCCCTAATACTGGTAGCTGACTGTGTAGGTATTGCCCAATCACTTGTCTTCACATGCCTTCTGCCAGTATATAACGTTTAACCTACATTTGTTGCCATGTTATCATTTTCATTTTCATTTCCAAAAATCTTTATTAAAATGTGTTATGACATGAATGCCACCTCCAAGAACACCTGATTGCGACAATTGCACTCATACCTATAAGTTCTGTCGCAGTAATTGGAGGAGAAGAAGACAACATTGGTTAACATCTTAAACAAAACCATGTAGTATCTACCAATCCCACAATATTTAGGTCATCTGGTTCACGCCCATTGTTTCCACGGTAAAACCATCTCTCTTACGAGTGAAGAAAGGCGTACTTCATAAAAAATACTTTGACCATATCGCAAAGACACGTGGTAGGTATATAAAACCCGATAATATGTAGCCATTATGATATAATTTGCTTTGTCATTTATCGACAAAACTGAAGATTCAGTATCATTACTTATTCAATCAGTCCGCGGGTTAGACCGGCCTGTGGGCATCAGTATTGAAATATACCGTATTTGTCGGCGTGTAAAAGTCATCTGTTTGGTCCATAGATCACAAAACGTAATGAGGCGATAACATTGTAAATCCTGCGGGGGACCTACAATGATACGGATTAGCGCCGTATCTGTGAGCCTGCTGCAGGGCGAGATCTGTCGATAGCGCTCTGTGGGACCTACAACTGGGATAATGAGAGAGGTTGTTCTATTGGTATATACATTTACAGTGGTTTTATACGAGACACACAAGGGTATATCGTTATAATGTATCGGAAATCACCATATCATTAACTAAAGTGATTTATTCAAAGTCCTCCTCCGGACCCCGGCTTCAATTGGGTCCTTTGTTCAAATTAAGATTTTCTTTAAAAGCAAGGCTTTGCCATTGGAGAAATTTACGATAAGGAAAATCTAACGTAAGTTGATTTGTGAAGCCGAAGCCAAGTCTGAAGCACATACATCAACTGGATAAAGTGATCCTCGGTTACGTCTGATACAATACAAAGCCTCCTTACATAGGCATCATGTTAGCTCTGCAACGTGCAATACGATCTCGTAAAGTGACACAGCCGACACATAATTAAATAAATACACATGCTTTTGTTTACACTGTATTTAGCGATACTTAGATATAAATGTTACGACAGCGAACTGAGACGTGATAAAACTATCTATGCGTTCTTGCTGTTAGGTGGAGACCAACAAACATTTACATCCACCGTGGTACAAAAGACAGCAAAGGTTCAAAACTACGAGGCGACGTACTATCAAGACGACTGCCAGTATACAAATTTTGTTTATTTTACAACAATTATGAAACAAGTTATTTCAGCTTATATTAATCACACTTGTTGGTCCGGATGTTAGCGCGCAGGGGTCTTAGTGTAGGAGGAAACCGGAGTACCCGGAAAAAACACGTTGTTGGGCCGGTGACCCCATACCTTTTCCGGTCCGATCGAGGAATCGAACCCCGGCCGCCTTGGTGAAAGGCAAGTGCGCTATCCACTGCAACACCCGACCACCCGACTGGCAGTCAAAGTACAGAGAGAACCACGGATTATATAATGTGTATAGGTCTAACACAACAGTGACAGAATGTGAA